CCCCTGCGTCACAGAAAGTTGGGCTGCGCGTGGACACACTTATCCAAAACCGCTAATGAAACGCAGCTGCCTGCGAGACCGGATGGGCACTTTGCGGAAGGTTAACTGACACTGGCAGATTGATGTGATGTGATGAGTAATCTTGCGGAGGAATTAGCAAAGGGCGGGCACGGGAAGACTACTAGTACAGAAAAACGCCTTGACTACTAACTGCAAGTACATGGTGACATAAACCAAAAACTGTTAACGGTCGTACAAAAGGAAACAACGCCCCTGGGACAGCTAGGAAGACCGAACTCAGGTAGCCTGACATTTGCGCGCCAACAGCTAACAAGGAACGGGTACCGTTTAGCATTTAGAAGCGGCCGCCTCAATACATCTTGGATAAAGAATGTGGTAATTGCGTAGGTTTCCTGCTGTAGCCACCCTCTTATTTTAAAGGTCAGAATACACAGAGGCTTAACTTAAAAATACGTGTGCACAACGCGACAATGTGGCTGGATAGTTCATTGTTCTATAAGACTGCCCACACACCGTGCAAGGTGATCATGACTTGCTTATTTTTTTTTCAAGTGCAGATCAATGACAAAGCGGACGGCCGAGTCAAACGACCGATCTGACAGTGACCAAAAAGACTGAAATCGCGACTTTTCACCAGTGTCGCCCTAGCATGACGCCTTTCAACCTCGCTGCTAGCGGGTGCGACCTACATTTCAGCCACATAAGCACGCGACCGACACACGAGTATGCACTCCAAAGTGGTGGTGGTGGTAGTGGTAGTGATGATTTTCATGGTCCTTTTCTGACGAGTCTCCTGTCGACTGGGTGAGAACTCAGGTAAATAAAAGGGTCGTTCTGGCCTTCGAATCATTTCTACCCTTGAGGTGACTGCTGTCAGACGAAGTTGGGTACGGGTTGACAGAGAGGGGGATAGGGAGAAAGAAAGACGCGGAGCACGGACTCTTGCGCCCTTATTTTCAGACGCTCGACACGTCCAGCCTGTGATTGCGTTTATGTGTACGCGTGTTTGCGCAGCTGTTCTCCTTCAGCCCAGAAATGACAAATTATCTGGATCTGCCGTCTGTTAACCGGAGACAGTAGTTTTCTAGCAGTTTCCAGCTGAGAAATGGGTAAACATGGGAAGACGGCTTCGGATTGGTGCGAGGTGTTTTTCTACCCCGAGCAATAGATTAGGATCAGACGAAGTACTACCTAACGCTAAATCGTGACATGCGACCAACTGTAACCTCTTGATACAGTTCCGCGGCTTGACAGTGATTAACGGGAAATCTGTTTCATTCATGGGGTTTGCACTGTGGTCCCTGGGCCCTTCTAGACCGGCGTTCAAGCCCTACTATCCTAGGTGAATGTGTCATGACGCAATGAGAGATACATACTAGGCATAGACATTTAAGAAGACAGGAAGGAACATAATTTTGCACGGCGACTTCGGCCGACTAAAAAAACAGGAGCCGCTGACCACTGTCAGCTCGGCTCTACCTCATCAGGCAGTATGCATAGTGGTCCGTGCCTGTAATGTTTGACTTAGAGAAATTAAATACGCATTTACAATTTTCCCTTAAGAGGTTTTAAAGTTAAGGATTTGCTTGACTTTATTATTTCGATCGGAATGGGCAACATGAATGCATAAACCCTGGTCTATACGAACACAATTTTTTAAAAGAACGAACGAACTCACCTTCTTATTTTTGCAGAAAGTCTGTAGGGGTTGCAGCTCCTGTTTTACATGTTGTCCATACTTGTTGGGGCTACGTACACACGTGAGTTGGGCGGGATCGTTAATGATACATTCATTGCAGAGGGCGACACGGCAAGCCAGACAGAACTGTGAAGCCGCTTCGTGCGGATGAGCAGGACAGGCGGGGAGCTTGTTTTGACGCTTCTGGCGCACAATTTCAGCGCCTCGTTGAGCTGAGTGCAGGGTGTGTTTCAGCAGGGGACCCTTCTGGGGATGACACCTGTCCCGACACTCCTCACAGTAGAAGATGCCGCATTGCTCGCACCAAATTATGGCCGGTGTGCCCTGGGCCGCGTTGACGGCCAAATCACCCAGC